TCATACTTTGGGAGGAGGGGGGAGGGTGGGGGGAGGGTGGGGGGAGGGGGGGGGGGCTTAAGTAGATCGCGGTATACATTACATCACATGCTGTTAAAAATAAGGTATTCGATTCTTAATTTATTTTCAAGATCGACACCAACAGCGATATATCTTTCTCGAGGCGCTGAAGGAAAAAAAAAACATTTAAAGGGAACTGGTTTCTGTTTAAGTCTTCTTTTATTAAAAAAAAAGTTGACCTTAAGAGAAATGGTTCTTGACGTTAAGAGGGTGGTTATGTTGCGAATGATGGAACAGTTTTTAATAAGTAGGTCATGGTTGAACCCATATTTATATCAAGGTCACCAGAGCGTGGCAATGAACTGTAATGGCGATCACCCCCCCCCACCTCAGCCCACCTCCCACTTCTATTTGAAGGGCCTTTGTTGTCAGATAGACCCCTCGGGGAAATATTCTTCGCAGTCTGGCTGGGCCAACTATGAGACAGGGCCAACTATTAGACTAGGCCAACTATTAGACTGGGCCAACTATAAGACTGGGTCAACTATTAGACTGGGCCAACTATGAGACTGGGCCAACTATGAGTCTGGGCCAACTATTAGGCTGGGCCAACTATAAGACTGGACCAACTATAAGACTGGGCCAACTATGAGACTGGGCCAACTATGAGTCTGGGCCAACTATTAGGCTGGGCCAACTATAAGACTGGGCCAACTGTTAGACTGGGCCAACTATGAGACTGGGCCAACTATTAGGCTGGGCCAACTATGAGTCTGGGCCAACTATTAGGCTGGGCCAACTATAAGACTGGGCCAACTGTTAGACTGGGCCAACTATGAGACTGGGCCAACTATTAGGCGGGGCCAACTATTAGACTGGGCCAACTATTAGACTGGGCCAACTATTAGACTGGGCCAACTGTAATATAAGAAACATTATGGATCTTCTGTCAGACTGGGCCAATTTTGGGCCACATGTGCCGTGAGTGAGGCCACAGAGTAGGCCATGCATCTGTTTTGGCCATATCCTTCTATGCCATATTTAGGTCGATGACATTCTATCCGTGACGGCTGATAGAGGCCAAGTCGTTCATGCAGTTCTATACTGCTGACCATCAGGTATGTTCTATACATCTGACCAGCAGGTATGTTCTATACAGATGACCAGCAGGTATGTTCTATACAGCTGACCAGCAGGTATGTTCTATACATCTGACCAGCAGGTAGGTTCTATACAGCTGACCAGCAGGTATGTTCTATACAGCTGACCATCAGGTATGTTCTATACATCTGACCAGCAGGTATGTTCTATACAGATGACCAGCAGGTATGTTCTATACAGCTGACCAGCAGGTATGTTCTATACATCTGACCAGCAGGTATGTTCTATACAGATGACCAGCAGGTATGTTCTATACAGCTGACCATCAGGTATGTTCTATACAGCAGCTGACCAGCAGGTATGTTCTATACAGCTGACCAGCAGGTATGTTCTATACAGCTGACCATCAGGTATGTTCTATACATCTGACCAGCAGGTATGTTCTATACAGATGACCAGCAGGTATGTTCTATACAGCTGACCAGCAGGTATGTTCTATACAGCTGATCAGCAGGTATGTTCTATACAGCTGATCAGCAGGTATGTTCTATACAGCTGACCATCAGGTATGTTCTATACAGCAGCTGACCAGCAGGTATGTTCTATACAGCTGACCAGCAGGTATGTTCTATACAGCTGACCAGCAGGTATGTTCTATACAGCTGACCAGCAGGTATGCTCTATAATGCTGACCAGCAGGTATGTTCTATACAGCTGACCAGCAGGTATGTTCTATACAGCTGACCAGCAGGTATGTTCTATACAGCAGCTGACCAGCAAGTATGTTCTATACAGCTGACCAGCAGGTATGTTCTATACAGCTGACCAGCAGGTATGTTCTATACAGCTGACCAGCAGGTATGTTCTATAATGCTGACCAGCAAGTATGTTCTATACAGCTGACCAGCAGGTATGTTTTATACAACTGACCAGCAGGTATGTTCTATACAGCAGCTGACCAGCAAGTATGTTCTATACAGCTGACCAGCAGGTATGTTCTATACAGCTGACCAGCAGGTATGTTCTATACAGCTGACCAGCAAGTATGTTCTATACAGCTGACCAGCAGGTATGTTCTATACAGCAGCTGACCAGCAAGTATGTTCTATAATGCTGACCAGCAGGTATGTTTTATACAACTGACCAGCAGGTATGTTCTATACAGCTGACCAGCAGGTATGTTCTATACAGCTGACCAGTTAATGTAATATCGTCCAGTACAACCAGAACGGAAAAGAAACCGTGTGCCTTAAAGCATACAACATAGGCTAGACGAATCGCTGACGCTTTTGATCTTTCCCTCCTGTTGTCGCTACAGTTTTAGAATGTTACAATTAAAAAAATAATAAAATATTTCAAAATAACTAGCCGAACCAGTTTCCTATTTTTTCAGGGGAATCAAATCCAGCAATGTAGTTTGGAAAAATATTAATACATTTCACTCCCCTTACCTGCTATTCACAATTTACTTCAAAATAAAAGTAAAATAAAAACCTTTATATCAATAAGTTTTAAGAACGTATCTGAAAAGAATGGTTAAAAAATTGAGGTATAAGATTTGCCAATTTGTACTGTCAAAAAACGGTATATCCGTAATGAATTAAAAAAAAACGTTAAATTTTGGTTTTGGGGTCGTCCATAAATGACTCGTAGAGGGGGGGGGGGGAGGGGGGTCCGTAATTTTGTGACGGTGTGTGATGAGGGGAAGGTTCAGATGGTGTGACGTCATTTTTTTGCATTATAAAAAAGCCATGAGAGAAAACGAGTTTTTCACTTTTATTTATCACTTATTTCACTTTTTAGAAAATGGTTTTAATAAATTTAATAGGAATTTATCAAAATACTCTATGTTGACAGAGTTCGGACAAGATTTTTGGAAAAATATCGACATTTTAAGAAAAATTCAACAGCAATTTAGAGGGGGGGGGGGGGGGGGGTTAGGCTGAGGTGTCACGTCATTTAGGGGGGGGGGGTCTGGCTTTTTGTGACGACGTGTGACTGAGGCAGAGGCGTAGCGAGGGGGCGGGGGGTGCGGACCAGTAAAAATCGTCAAAAAAGCGTGACGTCATTCAAGGATGACCCCCTTGGTAGACATAAAGGGAAGCGAGCGCACCGCTGACAGTAGCTGTAATAATGTGAAACATCTTCAATTTCGGGGAAACGTGTTTTTTAATCACGATAGCTAATCCGAGAGTCTCTAGTGTGCAACCCGGTGTCGAGTCTGTAGAACGTCCTTTGAGTCCACCCTGCTCTGTTTCCTATGTTCTAGGAAACAAAGGCAACTGGGCATAGTGCTGACCACACTGTCTACCGGTATGCCGAGGTAATTAAAACAAATAAACTCTACTTCATCTGCCCAGTGTGTCTTGGGAGCTAACGAGAAAAGATACCACGTATCATGGGGCTGCTCACAAAAATTTTTAGAAAACCATCATCTAGCCACGAGCGTGCTCGACTATTAAGGAGAAAGGACACATATTTTGCTGATCCCCACATCCCCCCTACCCCGAATAAGAAGGTCGAATGGTAGAGCGTAAGACTATAGTTCAAATCCGGGTTCAAGTTCGTAGACAGTCCATGAGTCAACCTAGCCCTGATAAGCACATGGTTCCCGTATGCAGAGGAAACAGAAACAGGTAAACTCTACTCCACTTGCCCCATGGACGCTCAGGTTCCAAAAAAAAACTTTACTTTTTCCACTTTCTCATATTAAAACAGTCTAATTTGACTTTCTTGTTTTCTACTAAATGAACATTTTAGTGTCAAATCAATGAAAAGCTTATTTGTTTCGGTTCAACAGCAAAAACTTACTCTGAGCGCCAATCTCTCCTTTCCTGCAGTGTTAACAGCAGCTGTTATCGGTTCGCGTTCATCTATGTGTATGCTTATGCGTATGCATATGCGTATATGCATGTGCATGTGCATGTTCATGTTCATGTTCAATAATATATTTTGTCTGTGAGATCATTTGTCCTTGAGATCATTTGTCCTGAGATCATTTGTCATCAGATCATTTGTCCTGAGATCATTTGTCCATGAGATATTTTGTCAGAGAAATTTCGTCTGAGATCATTTGTCCTGTCACCATGTATATATATAAATATATATATATATATATATATATATATATATATATATATATATATATATATATATATATATATATATATATATATATATATATATATATATGTGTGTGTGTATATTTTAGGGCCCCTAATGTTTTTCTGACCAGGGCCCCACTCAAGCTTAATAAGCCAATGTTCTACCCATAAAAATCGAATGTACACGTGGCAGTCACAGTGCAGATAAATAAGCTAATTTAACTCATCGATAGAAGTTAAACAGATCAATGATAACCAAACACATAACATTAGTTAGACTGCAGTATCATTAAACCGGCCGAGTTAGACCTGGTCAATAAATCGCTTACATAACACTCAGGATAATAAGTTCATTCTTTTTTATTGTCGAGGTAAATTACTTGACATTTTTATCATTTTTACCAAAGCCCTAAAAAGCACTACGAATACTAAATATTTTCGATTTACCATAATGTGCGATGTCTTTTTTATGTTGTGGTTAAACATGTTAATGTTATTACATATTTCAATCACAACACAGAAGTCATAAAATATGCGGAAGGACCCCCCCCCCTAAATTTACGAGCCAGGGGCTCTGTTCAATCCAGAGTTTCTTCCAGGCATCTCTTCAGGTGGGGGAAAAAGTCTACCGTCCTCCCGAACGAAATGAAATTTAAATAGAAAATATATAACAGTGACGGCCCCCACCGAAAAAAGTTTACCCCCCCCTCCCTGAAAATTTCAAGTGCCCCTCCGGAGAAAAAAGTCTGGGAGAAACACTGGTTCAATCTGAATTTGCCCCTGATTTGGTCCTATTATTTAATGCACAGTTTTTGTATTTTATTTTCCAGTATTGTAGTTTAGCCTAAAAAGGCAAAGAATAACAGGTGTGTGAAAATATAAAGTACGCGTGTTTCACTTTTCAAAATCTTTGAACAATGAGGAACGTCATATTATATCTGACATTGTGCTCTTGTTTGTGGGTTTTTTCAACACAAGGTTATTTTAATTTTAGATGTTGGTTAAAATAATTTTTAATGTAAGCTTATTTTTCAGCGTATGAAGAAAGAAGAACATAAATATAAAACATTTTATTTTAATTTATTTTAAAAAAGTAGCTTTTTGGAGATAGATTGGTATAATAATTTAACAAGATATATTGTAAACATGGTGTGAGTGTCGATTCTTTACATGTTCATAAATTAGAGTGAGTTAAACAGAAGTCTTATGAGGCCTAATTAAAACGTAACATTTCGTGAATGAAAGTATAAAATTGTTAAAGCTTTTTGATTATACTCTCACTTTAAACATAATAATTTTGCTGCATAAACATGTATTTTAAAATTCTACACATAAGGCCTACTGCCGATTTTTTGGATCTCTTACAAGTAAAATATAAATATATGTATAAATATACAAACTTTAGTCATTGGGTCTATTTTATTAGAATGTAGATCTCCACATTTTCTTATACCAGGTGTAAAATGGTTTGGACCCAGTTCCCAATACATGTGTCACTGTGAGGATGACCAGTGTGACGACAGTGGTCAATGTGTCAACGGATCCAAGTGTGCTCGTGGATGGTTTGGTATCAAGTGTCAGTATGGTAAGGTCAATGATAATTATGGGATGGCTGAGCTAAATGTAAATGGTAAGGTCAATGGTAATTATGGGATGGCTGAGCTAAATGTAGAATGGTAAGGTCAATGGTAATTATAGGATGGCTGAGCTAAATGTAGAATGGTAAGGTCAATGGTAGTTATGGGATGGCTGATAGTTATAGGATGGTTTAACTAAATGTTGAATGAAAACGGGGCTGATAAAAAGGTACATACTGATTTAGTATAGATACACTAATAGCTAACACAATCAAGAAATAGCCACACATTCCTCAACAAGCACCCATATACTACATATATCAAACCAAAAAGCTTAGCACAAGAAAATGAAGATAACTGTTCTTATTTATAGTGCATTTAAAGTAATTTTTGTTGCCGTAACGTTTTTTCCCTTTGTTCTATTTTTCAGTTGACTTGGCCTCAGGTTTATCTGACGTACTTACAGTAATTTTTGTTTCCGTAACGTTTTTCCACGTGTTCTATTTCCCAGTTGACTTGGCCTCAGGTTTTTCTGACGTACTCACAGTAATTTTTGTTGCAGTAACGTTTTTCCACGAGTTCTATTTTTCAGTTGACTTGGCCTCAGGTTTATCTGACGTGTTCACCGTAATTTTTGTTGTCGTAACATTTTTCCACGTGTTCTATTTCCCAGTTGACTTGGCCTCAGGTTTATCTGACGTACTCACAGTAATTTTTGTTGCCGTAACGTTTTTCCACGTGTTCTATTTCCCAGTTGACTTGGCCTCAGGTTTATTTGACGTACTCACAGTATTTTTTGTTGCCGTAACATTTTTCCACGTGTTCTATTTCCCAGTTGACTTGGCCTCAGGTTTATCTGACGTACTCACAGACGGCGATGACAGCACGTGCACGTCGGACACGGATATTGCCATTGTGGACTTGCGGGAAGAGTTCCCGTTTACCTGGCTCAGACTGACCGTCATTGACCCAGGTGTGGTGGACTAATAGAACAAATGCGTTCATTCTTCTTTTATATGTTCTGTGTTTAACAATGTCTGTACAGTATCTTATTGGGTTTGTTTTTTTAAAAGTATCAAAGCTGCAACTAGGAGTTTATTCTGAGCAACCGTAAAAAACGGGGCTAGAAGTAGTTCTGAAGTCCGATTAGGGGTTTTTAAGTTTTTATTAAAAAAATATTGGAATATGAATTCTTTAATATTTGTTTTTATAGACGCATTGAGAAATCTGAGAGTTTCTTTTCTTGACTTTCAAAATCCCGGGGCACTATCTGTGATACAGTGTAGCGGTATGAAACTATCCTACATCAACAGTAAAACACTTGACATTCGCTGTGACCTGTCTGTCTTGGTACAACAGGTTGTTGTGTCAGGTGACGGTGTCAGGTCACTCTGTTCTCTTTACGTCAGTGGAGGTGAGTTTGGCTATAAATATTTTCATGTGTACAAAGATTCTTGTACAGAAATAGATTCAAATAGAGCACACGATACACTACTGCAATAATTAGTTTGTATTTTCAATATTCGGCATAGGTCGGAACGTAGCTCTTCGTCAATCTACTAGTCAGTCAAGCACGTATAAGGGGAACTGGCATTCGAATAATTCCGTTGACGGTATACCCAGAACGATTTGTTCCCACACACGCGATTCTTCCGATTCATCTCAGTACTGGAGTGTAACTGTTTCTCCGCCTCAAGCTGTCAACAGATACATGATCTACAACAGAAATGACAGTAAGTCGTCTTTGAAAAAAAACGTGCACAATACTTATTTATACATTGGCCTAGCGATAGAGCGCTAGGCTGCTAACCGAAGTCTTGAGTTCCAAACAGATAAGTTTTGCATTTCGGCTAGTGCAGTGCTTGGCTGGGACGGCTAGTATATATAATCAGATGTATATACATGTATATGTACTCATATACATACATACCTATACATATATATATTACGGTCAAAAGTTGCGTTTGTTGTTGACATAATTGGGCTAAGCTCATCGAAATGTGATTGATTTTTATTACAAGCTTTTATTTAACTTGCTTCCTCTGTCGTCAGTCGTCAGTCTGTCTAGATCGAAACGCTGGAGTGAAAATTCGGACACTTCTACTAGATCGATACGATTCACAGTTGGCATGTGGGTCAAGACATGAAGACAATGCAATGTTAATTGGATGCCTAATTAATTTTTTATGAATTAATTAAAATTTGGACCGAATTAATAGGCATGTCTATCCAACCACACGCGTCATCACGTTCAATAGCTGCGCCATCACGTTCAATAGACGCGCAATGGTTTTTATTCATGTAACACTATTGTAAACGAGAAAAATGGCCCGTTGAGGAAGGATACAACGGGCGCTAGGTTGATAGTGCTGTCTATTTTCTCGGTACTTTAATTTATACAAAATATAGTCATAGGAATATCCCTAAACCATGCGACAAAAGTCGCATTTAGAGTTTCTTTCAGGCAACTCTACTTGGGAGGAGGGGGCTTCGCCCCCCCCCCTCCCCCCTACACACACACTTCAAAACATGTCTACCGTCCCATTCAACAAAGTATAATTATATACTTTTTCCAGTGTTCGCCCCCTCGCAGAAAAATCTACCCCCGCCCCCGAAAATTTCAAGTACCCCCACCCCTCTCCGGGGAGGAAAAAGTCTGAAAGAAACACTGGTCGCATTTGTAGATCATACAAACTAAAGGAAGAATCTGGGCGGGGCTTAGCCCCTACCGGAAGCGATGCTTGAAAAAAAAAACTGCACGCTAAACACTTTTTAGATTCGAAAAAGTTCCCTCCTCCGGGGAGGAAAAAGTCTGAAAGAAACACCGGTGTCGCGCTTAGCCACTACCCGAAGAATTGCATTAAAGAAATTGCAAGAAAACCACTTTTTAGATTAGACACATTAATTAGGCGGTAATTTTATTATAGAGTATCGATGAAGAAATTTCTTTTGAGTTGGGGAGAGGGGGAGGGGGTTCAGACGTTATTACGCGGAAGTGGGGCTTCGCCCCTACCCGAAGAATTGTATGAAAGAAACTCTTCACGCAAACCACTTAGATTAGACAAAATTGCCTTTTTATTCAATGTTTACTCGAGAATCAATGACGTCATATTACTGTGTGCACTCCCCGGCTTGAGATTATTTTCTACTCTATGCTAAATGTGACGACGTCATACTTCGTTTTTCGAATTACTATGCATGTTTTTAATTTGCTTGTGTTTTCTCTAGAGCGTTCTTGTCAGACAGATAGATAGATACATAGATAGATAGATACATAGACAGACAGCGAAACTATTATTATAGATAAAACATGTAAAGTACTGAAAAAAAAATTCATAAAAAACGTTTTAATAACAAGCTTTTATGTACTAATGCACTAAAAAGTAGAAAATAAATTATACACTACTATTTAAATTACTATATAGAAAAGCGTGGGTCTCTTCTGAAATATTAGTAAAGGTATCCAATAGGTACTAAAGTACTAAAGTGACCCACGCTTTTCTTTATAGTAATTTAAATAGTAGTGTATAATTTATTTTCTACTTTTTAGTGCATTAGTACATAAAAGCTTGTTATTAAAACGTTTTTTATGAATTTTTTTAACGCCTCATATTTCTGCGTATTTGAAACAAAATTATAAAATGCCTTCTTAGTGTATATAAAATTTCAGTAAATACATACTAGTGGTTGCAATATTTTCCATTTAATGAATTTGGAGAAAATAAATTGCAACAACGGTGATGCCATCTCCGTGCGAAGATAATATCTAAGAGTTTAAATATCTATTCACAGCTAAATACAAAGGGATTTGTTGCCCAGAAAGGCTACAGAAATTTAAGCTCCAGTCTTACTCGTCCAGTGGAGTGACTCTGTTTACATACAAAGAACCGGGAACTGTTGAAACTATTTACAACATCAGCACCGCTACACTGCAAGAAAATGTCGCTAAAGTACAGATTAGTGAGTCAGTCGGACCATATCTGACACTGTGTGAGGTTGAAATATACGGAGGTAAATTTTGTCATATATCGCTTACTGAAATTTTACAGAAAATAAAGCGGGAGTGATCTCCCCTAAACTTTCTCGAATATTCTTACATAACAGTACGGGGAATAAAACACGGGATATAGGCATGAATTTTTAATCAATTTTTAATTACTTCAACTGTTAAAATAAAATAGAATTTCGTAGCCCAACAAGTGAACAGAAAACAATGTGTTTATAATAGTGCGGAAAATTAGTACTTTATAAATTCAAATTAGTTTTTTTTTACGAGTATATCTATCTATCTATATACTACTAAAAATCAAGTTTGTTTACATGTTTGAATTTGTTTTTTGTTTTTTTGTTTGTCCGTTTGGTTACAGGAGAGAATCTGCACTATGTGTAGAGCTGTACAATACGTAATTAGACAGAGAACAATTTTCTTTTTAAACAAACTGTTAGTCACAAATTAATTAATTAATTGATATTTCATTGGTAGATTAATCAAAATAATTATAAAATTTCAGAACAATGACTTTACTTAAAGTGACATTACATGATTTATTTACTTTTTATATCAATAATGACGGCTTCCATCGAAGATTTTGGTGCCCATTCAAAAGTTTAACGCGTTATAAAGCTAATTTTCTGTCGGCTATAGCTTTAACGATAAGTCCGTTTGCTATTTTTGTTACGTTCCAACACTAATATCAATTTTCAACAGTCCATTTTCATTTAAGAATACAAAAAAATTCTCTAGATCTGGAATCTAAAGATCAGCTGTCGGAGGAATTTATAGATCTAGAATCTAGGTCAATCCGAAATTAATTGGTTAAAAATAAAAACCATCATAAAATCACAATAAATTATTGAGTTTCTTTATTAAACTATTTTAGTCCTTAAATATTTGATATTAATCTTTGCTTTTTAGCTTTAAAGATCATCTAATTCCAGAATAAAAGTGATTTATCTATCTAGGTTCTAGATCTAGAACTACGAGAAAACTCGACTTAACCAAACCAGTCGTAGAATCTAGATAACTCAATCTAGATCTAGATAATAATGAGTTTCTATACTAAACTATTTCAGACCTTAATTATTTTATATAAATCTTTGTTTGTTTAGCTATGGAATTGAATAATTCGGGATAAAACTCTACTAAAACTCAAGTTTGTTTAAATGTTTGTATATTTTTTTTGTTGTTGTTTGTCCGTTTGGTTACAGGAGCGAATCTGCAAAATGCGTAGAGCTGAATAATACATAATTAGGTTGAGAAAATTTTTCTTTTTAAACAAACTATTAATCACAAATTAATTTAAAGACGTTATTAATATATTATTATTAATATATTCATTGGTAGATTAACCACATTAATTACATTTTTTTCAGAACAATGACTTTACTTATAGTGACGTCACATGATGTATTTACTTTTTATAACAATAATGGCAGCTTCAATCGAAGATTTTGGTGCCCATTCAAAAGTTTAACGCATTATAAAGCTGATTTTCTGTAGGCTATAGCTATATGTCCGTTTGCTATTTTTTATTAGGTTACAACACTGTTATCAATTTTCAACAGTTCTTCTAATTTGAGTATACGTAATCTTTCTCTAGATCTATAGATCAGTTGTCGGACGAAGAGAAAGTCAATCCTAGATCTAAAATCTAGAATCAAGGTCAAACCAAAGTTAATTGGTTGAAAATAAAAAAAATATATTATAAAATCACAATAAATTATTCAGTTTCTTTATAAAACAATGTTAGTCATTAATATTTGATACAAATCTTTGCTTTTTACTATTTTTAGGTTTAAGGGTCATCTAATTCGAGAATACATATTAATATTTTTTTGAGAAAGAAAAAAAGTATTATATGCGTTTTAAAACTGTGTTGTAAGCAGTGTAGACATGACTAAAGTTCTCGTCATGGTTGATGATTTCATTCACTTAGCATCATGTTGCTGTGTGTTAGTAGTTCGATTCTTCTCATGTCAAGTGAAGTTGGGTTAACGTTAACCTAAGATGTACCCGTCAAGGATTGTTTGTTCATTTGTTGTACTTTTCACATCTATGTGTAGAACAATAGCAAAATTAATTTAAAATGATTTTTTCCCCGTGTATTTACTGACTTAACATAGGAAGTATTATATTTGTTCTATGTATTCGTCCACTGCTCCCCGAAAAATTCGCGTTAACAATTTCGTAACGAAGTACTTGGTGCGTATACAATTTTTATCATGTTTTTTTCCATACTAGAATGTCCTGTTGGGACATGGGGCCTAACATGTGAGAACAACTGTAGCAGAAACTGCTACGAGACATCTTGTCACAGAGAAACTGGTGAATGTGACAACGGCTGTCAGGGATTCGAGGATCCACCGGAGTGTACAAATGGTATGTGTGATGTTTTAAATTTATTTATGTGAAAGAAATATATCTAACAAAACAAAGTGGGGCCTGTTTGTTTCTTAGAACTAATCGATTGGATATTTGCAGGACAGAATCAGACAAAGTTTGCTGTTCACTTTTACTCTAATGTGTAAAATAGAGCCATCTCAACAATCGCGTTTAAAGAGGTTGAAAACTTACATAGACAGACCGCGGTCTTGGTATAGTACTATAGACTATATATTTAAAAAAAAGTTCTTGAACTAGATCGACAATCGCAAAGAAAATGACTATGGTGTTTTGGGCACTTGGGATTATACCAGATTCTCAAAAGTGTCATAATAATCTTACCTGTTTAAAGGGACATAATTGCATCAGGAATTTTTTAAATTTTCGATTGTGTGTGCGTGTATGTTTGTGTGTGTGTGCGTGTGTGTGTGTGTGTGTGGGGGGGTGCTCAGCCAAAATGTAGATACAGGTGTTGTGGCCTAAGGAGATGTTACCTACTTTTACAGGGGTAGTTGTTGCTTAAAAATGAATCTTAGCTATACTCCCCTTCCGCGATTTACCCCTCGGTAATTTTAAACCTCATTACTTCCAGTTCAATTACCCCTGTCAATTACCCCACTTAGTATAATCCAAAAACTGCAGTAGGACATTACCTACTTCCAAAACAGTTACTCATAGGGTAACTGTAACAGTTACACGGTTACAATAACAGTAACGGAAACAGTAACGGTAAAAGTACCCAACGGTAAGGGTAATGCTAAGAATTAATAAATAATACCGATACAGCTAAGATTAAGGATAAACATAAGGAGAAATAAGTCTGGATGAAACACAGTGGGTATCTATCTATAGATATAATTCTCTTCTGGGAGCCGTTAGAAAACAAGCTGCAAGCGCCTCCTTGCAGTCCCCTCTATTTCTCTCTATCACTATCACTACCACCCCCATCCAACCCCTATATTGTCCGGTGAGCTGTGGTCACGCTAAATGTTTACAAAGCTAAATGTTTACAAATCGTAGAGCCGTATAGCCGGGTTTCTATTAGGGGCAGATAATTTAGTTCGATTTTAAACTTACAGGAGGTGACTAAGAAATAACTAATAGGAGGTTGCTTTCACGGGGGGGGGGGGGGGGGGTTCTGTGTAGGGTCGGGGTTGGGGGAAAGGGGGGGGGTTAGTGTTTTAAAGCAAATATTTTCAGTGGCAGCATTGGTTCTGTCGAATTCACAAATTATGAATTACTGAAAAGTAGAAAATAAAACAACTAAATAGCGGCGTATGATACGCTGCGGGTCGGCTCGTTAGTATAAAATCTATCGTGTAGTGGGTTAAATAAACAAGGTGGTAATACGGCTGGTAAGTAGGTCAACAACCAGTTCTACGGCTCAATAAAAGTTGCATGAGCCGTAAAACTGGTTGGTGACCTACTTTCCAGCCCTATTGAGAAGAGGTAATTGATCTGGGGTCTAATGGCTGGAAGGGGGTAGGGGTGGCTAACGTCTTAAGCCCAGTTAAATCAGGTCACATTTCAGATAAAATTAAGGTTAAATTTCAGACGTATGCTTATTTTGTATCATTGTTTTTTTGTATATTTTAATTGTATGAAATGGGGTTGAGGCTCACGGGCTCAGGAAAAGTAAGGAACAAGCCGTTTTCTGTTCAACGTTTTGACTCTGATGCTTATTATATTTGTGTAACGAACCGTGATATTGATGAATGTTGGGTGATGTGTAGGTTAACTTTTAGAATCACGTGCTGTTGCTGTTTTGAGCAAAGCATTATGTAATGCTCTTTAGTTTTTCTTATAACATTTTGTAAACAAACACACGTTAATATTTAAATATGGACATGGCTGTAAAGGCTGGAGTAAAGCCTAACCGATAACGGCTACTACATAGTATAAGCTAAATATACAACCATGTTTTAAATATGTTTATGTTTATATATATATATATATATATATATATATATATATATATATATATATATATATATATATATATATATATATATATATATATAATTATCTTCAAGGAGACCATAGAAAACACCACGCAGCTTAGCCACCACCCTCACCCCCACCTTTCAGGTGAGCTGTGGTTCACCCCGAATGGGTGGGGGAGGCAGGGAGGTGGGGTAGTATTCGAATTCACAAAATATGAATTGTTGATAAGTAGAAAATAAAACAACTAGCTAGCGGCGTATGCTACGTCGCGGGTCAGTTCTTATGTATATATATATATATATATATATATATATATATATATATATATATATATATATATATATGTGTGAGCGGCTGGAGTGTATTATTATTATTATTATTATTTGTAACTTAGAAGGCGAATGTATCGTTTCGTTTCATGCCGTAAATAGTTCGTACTTTTTAGTTGTGTAGTCCCGTATTATGGCGCCGCTGTCTATCTGTCTATGTCCCTGTTTACAGCTAGTTTGTATATATTTCGTTTATATTGTTGTCAATGTTTATATTAAGTGTCTTTTTATATAATTCTGTTGCATGTTTCGTGGCGTTTGGTTTGTTATCTGTGAATTAGGGACTATTTGTTTACGTGTAGTGTGTGAGGTGTGTGAAAGTCGATTTCCGGCTTGATGTTCTGTCCACTTTGGTATGAGGTAAGGAAGAAAGTCCTTTTTCCATCCGATGCTACTTTAGTCAGAAGAACGTCCATCTAGCTTTTATTATTTGTGCTTTTGGTTCTTTGTAAACCTGGTAAGTTAGAAACATGTTTATTTTATGATTTTGCAGTTTATTTTTGGTTGCTGGCCATAAGCTTTTTTCTGTGGTTGTTTTCTTATCGCCATTGTGGTTTTGTCAGACCATGTGGACTTCTGAGTTTTATTATATTATGTTTATTTTATTTTGTTACTTTGTTGTATCCCTTGGGCTTGTGTTAAGCCAGTGATAATGCTTATTTATGCTTGGCCCACAGTTATGGTTTACTCCTTGCTGTTGGGTTAAGTGGTACACATATTTTATTGGTTGTATCCCTTGGGCTTGTGTTAAGCCAGGAATAAAGTTATTTAGACTATATATATATATATATATATATATATATATATATATATATATATATATATATATATATATATCATATATATATATATATATATATATATATATATATATATATATATATAATATGGTAGATATGCATTTAATTTAAAACCAAACTACTTTGTCTCTGCTGCTGATACTTTTCAACTTTCTAATTACAACAGTTTGTTTGAAAGGGTTCTATGGCCACAACTGTAAAAAGACCTGCTCACCTTTCTGTCTAGACCACGACTGTGATCCCGTCACGGGTGACTGCACGACTTGCAAACCTGGCGACCCAAATCATGCAAGGTAGCAATTTTTTGACTTCACTGTTTACAATTTTTTGATTTTACTGTTTGCAATTTTTGATTTCAAGATTTTCAATTTTCAAGCTTGTTACATATTTATTTTGAAAGGTTGGTTGTTTTGATTAAATTTAATGTGTGACCTAGGCCTGGGCTTTGTCAAAAAATGCCTTAACCACTGCGCCGAACAACTGTGCCACCCTGAGAATGGACAATGCAAGGAGAGTTGGACAAGTGAACAACGCCAAAATCAGAACATGGAATAATGTTGATCAAATGTAATCGTTGGCTAACTAGTGCACGCATGATTATAATACAATAAAACAGTGCTGATGTGTATAGAGTGCTTTTTGTTGTTTGTGATTCACCAGAATTCGTATGGTTAAATAAAGAAAACGAAAGATCTTTCTTCAATAAACTAGACATGTGTTCTTTGTGAGAAACAAGAGTTCATATTCTACACATACAAATAGAAAATGTAAATATACATAAAAGGCAAATTGTTTGACGTACGCTAGGCCGAATGGTGGTCATGATTTATTGTCTGGAATATAAATCTTAAGAACAGAACAGAACAGAGCATAATGTCGTAAAATCAAACAAAACAAACAGGTGGCAGTGATGTAACTAATTAAGGTCATTTAGACGTGCCAATTAATCGTTTCAAAATACTTATCACAATAAATCTGTTCTTATTTATTGTCTTTGCTAATTGTATTTTTCAATTCAGTTGTCTTTTTATATATAGCGCGCATTGGCCGGGATGTCCTGGCCAATGTCCTATCTAGACTAAATTGTGATTGTGTTTTCATTATTCTGGGTGCTGTTTCATTGTGAGTAACGTATTGTTTGGCTCTTGCGTGTATAGCATTCTATATGCAATGCGACTTGGACCAAAGGGTCGTCAGATCAAAGGAAATATTTCTGAACTAAAGAACATGTAGCCTGAACTTAAACTAGTTCACGGAAAACCAAGGCATAGCCAAAGCCAAGATTCAGAAAAACGTGCCAACCAAGATGTTCAAAATACGATGATGACATTGGGCTGAGAGTCTCAAATTTATTCAATTTTTGAAAAATCGCTTTCTTTATCAAGGAATCCAATAATCATCACATGAAGCCTTGTTTGGATGCAAAGCAAAAGTGGGACTTAACACTTCAAATCTACAAAGAGAGGCTCTCGATAATTTAGTTACTGAGGAAGCTCTTGAGAACATTGAACAAGAAATGGAGGTTGCCATAAATGCAACGACATCCTCAGCTAATACACATGCTGCTGTGGCAGAACGTCCAGACCAGTTGCGTGACAATAATATGGCCAATAGATTATGTGTAGTTTGTGAAAAATATTGTAGTGCAGCCGATTCTTGTGGAACCTCTGGCAACGATGACCATGCAATATGCGGAATAGCCAATAAATCAGACGAAGGAGGGAACATTACTAGCAGATTATCTCACAATAAACAAGAAATTATGGACAACAGGTCAGCAGCTCATACTAGCTTACAAACTAAAGGTGCTAAGATGCTATTTTAAGATACAAATTTTAAACAAGCTGAAGTGGAAGATAATGTTCGCATCCGTATACCAGATGTTGACAGAGGTCGCGGTGATCCCCGAAGCGTCATTGCAGTTGTCATGAAGGCGCTTTCTACAAGCTAGGAACAGAACATGGTGTTCTAAATGCTCGTCCATTGGTACAGACAAAAAAATCACTTCGAACCATCACATCTTCTTAACCACTGAACGGCGGCCATGGCTACACTCGCTGCAATTGCACAACCAAATGCACAAAAAACAGCTACAAGTGTAAAAATAACAAGCTACTATGTAATTCTAAATGCCATAAAAGTTCAACGTGTTGTAACAAGTGATAATAGTGATTGAAACTATTGTACAGTAATTTTTTTTTCTGTCATTTATTCTGATTAATAATCAATAAAGACTTAATTTAATGATTCTTACGGTATGAAAAAAAATTTTGCTTATGATCTTCTAATTCGAAATTTGGCCGGTCGTCCCTAGCCAGATAATCTTCTGATTCGGAGTTGGCCGGTCCACCATAACCAGTCCGCGGACTGGCCGGCCAAAGGCCGAAATCAAGTAAAGTTTCGGACCTTGAACAATCAATGGGAGGCGAATTGGCCAATGCATGCTTTGGCCGACTTCGGGCTTTGACCGTTACATATATATATATATATATATATATATATATATATATATATATATATATATATATATATATATATATATATATATATATATGTATGTGTGTGTGTATTTTAGGGCCCCTAGTGTTTTTCTGCCTAGGGCCCTCCTCAAGCTTCATCCGTCCATGTTCTACCCATAAAAATCGAATGTACACGTGGCAGTAACAGAGCAAATAAACTAGCTAATTTAACTCATCGCTAGAAGTTAAACAGATCAATGATAACCAAACACATAACATTAGTTAGACTGCAGTATCATTAAACCGGCCGAGTTAGACCTGGTCAATAAATCGTTTTCAAAACACTCTGGACAATAAGTGTGTTCTTATTTACTGTCGTGGTAAATTACTTGACATTGTTCAGCAATTTTACCTAAGCCCTAAAAAATCCTACGAATATTCAATATTTTCCATTTACCATATAGTGCGATAATGTTTTTTTTTTTTAAATTTTCTGGTTTAATTAGTAAACGTTATTACATAGTTAAATCACAACACAGAAGTCAGAAAATATACGGAAAGGCCCCCCCCCCCCCCCCCTAAATTTACGAGCCAGCTGTTCAATCTGAATTTGCTCCTGATTTGGTCCTATTATTTAATGCACAGTTTTTGTATTATATTTTCCCGTTTTGTATTTAAGCATAAAAAGTCACAAAATAACTGCTGTATGAAAATATAAAGTATGCGTGTTTTACTTCTCAAATGCTTCTAACAATTACATAATTTCAAAATGAGGAACGTCATATTAAATCTGACACTGTGCTATTGTTTGTGGGTTTTTTCAGCACAAGGTAATTTTAATTTTAGATGTTTTAAAATAATTTATAATGTAAGCTTATTTTTACAGCGTATGAAGAAAGAAGAACATGCATATAATATATTTAATTATAATTAATTTCAACAAAATAGCTTTTTGGAGATAGATTTGTAAAATAATTTAACAAAAGATTGTAAATATTGTGTTAGTTTCGATTATGTTCATCCTAATATATAAAAGGACATGTTCGCACTTCTCTCTCTCTCTATCCGCAAGGTTTGTTTTAGGTGTAATGATCAGTATCTTCAGCGATATATGGAGAACTTGATACGGACTTTTGTTGAAAAAAATATGCTGGGTGTTTTAAATGTATAAACTAAATTTTATTTAAAGAAGGAAAATAAAAATAAAGGCATATTTGAATATAGAGACACAATTTTGATTATGCAACCGAAAAAGCGTTTATTGTTGTGAAAACATTCAATAAACAATGACGTCATATGTCACATGTTTAAACCACGGAAAGAACACAGAACTAATGGCGTCATCTTCCAATTATAGAATATAAAGAAATACACTATTTAATTCAAATTTGATATAGATCTATGAAATGTATAGTATACAATTTTCTCAAGCAAAAGCAATACAAATTACTTAAAAAAACAACAGAAATACCATTGAACAGCTGAGTTTTAAATGAATCATTTAATTCTCTTAATCAATGTGTTCATTTAATATGGTGTTGTGTTGACTAATAGTGTATAAAATTTGTTATTTTTAATGTGCCGGATTTTTAAAGCTATTTCTTTATTTTTTTTTGCTTTTTCACTTATATCGTTCGTTGTGTAGTAAAAAACATTGAGTTTTTACCAATAAATATTTTATAAAATATTTTTTCTCAAACATGTTTAAAAAATATAATAATATATTAGCCTATAATTTACGTGCAACGGGTACCGACGGCTAGTAAATTAGATTGGGTTAAACACAAATATTATGAGGCCTAATTTAAACGTAACATTTCGTGAATGAAAGTATAAAAATGTTAAAACTTTTTGATTATACTCTCACTTTAAACATAATAATTTCCCTACATAAATATATATTTTAAAATTCTACACATACTGCCAATTTTCTGATCGCTTACAAGTCAAAAATAAATGTTTGTATAAATATACAAACTTTAGTCATTGGGTCAATTTTATTAGAATGTAGATCTCCACATTTTCTTATACCAGGTGTAAAATGGTTTGGACCAAATTCCCAGTACATGTGTCACTGTGAGGATGACCAGTGTGACGACAGTGGTCAATGTGTCAGCGGATCCAAGTGTGCTCGTGGATGGTTTGGTATCAAGTGTCAGTATGGTAAGGTCAATGGTAATTATGGGATGGCTGAGCTAAATGTAAATGGTAAGGTCAATGGTAATTATGGGATGGTTGAGCTAAATGTAGAATGGTAAGGCCAATGGTAAATATAGGATGGCTGAACTAAATATAGATTGGTAAGGTCACTGGTATTTATAGGATGGTTGAACTAATTGTTGAATGATAACGGGGTTGATAAAAATGTACATGCTAATTTAGTTTAGGTACACTAATAGCTAACACAATCAAGAAATAGTCATCCATTCCTCAACAAGCACCCATATACTACATATATCAAACCAAAAAGCTTAGCACAAGCAAATGAAGGTAACTTTTCTTAATTATAGTGCATTTAAAGTAATTTTTGTTGCCGTAACGTTTTTCCACGTGTTTTATTTCCCAGTTGACTTGGCCTCAGGTTTATCTGACGTACTCACAGTAATTTTTGTTGCCGTAACATTTTTCCACGTGTTCTATTTTCCTGTTGACTTGGCCTCAGGTTTATCTGACGTTCTCACAGTAATTTTTGGTGCCGTAACGTTTTTCCACGTGTTCTATTTCCCAGTTGACTTGGCCTCAGGTTTATCTGACGTTCTCACAGTAATTTTTGTTGCCGTAACGTTTTCCACGTGTTCTATTTCCCAGTTGACTTGGCCTCAGGTTTATCTGACGTACTCACAGACGGCGATGACAGCACGTGCACGTCGGACACGGACATTACCATCGTGGACTTGCGGGAAGAGTTCCCGTTTACCTGGCTCAGACTAACCGTCATTGACCCAGGTGTGTTGGACTAATAGAACAAATGCTTTCATTCTTCTTTTATATGTTCTGTGTTTAACAATGTCTCTACAGTATCTTATTGGGTTTGTTTTTAAAAGTATCAAAGCTGCAACTAGGAGTTTATTCTGAGCAACCGTAAAAAAACGGGGCCAGAAGTCGGGTTGAAGCCCGATTAGGGTTTTTAAAGTTTTTATACAAAAATATTTGAATATGAATTCTTA